TTATCACAGCCTCAGGAGAAACAGGCCCAGCACACCCACACCAGAAACCCCAAGTCAGCTTCTCTTGCCCAGCCCTGGCCCTGGTGATCCCTAGCTGGGTCTGTGACCAGGGCAGGGCAGGTCGGACTCACCTGAGCCCAGAAGCTGAGAAATGGCTGCAGGTAAATGTAAGCCTTCATGGGATCAGGCTCGGTACTTACCTCCAGTTTAACAGATGCACATAGCTGTGAAAGGCTGGGTGTTTAGTTTAAGTGTTTCTTGTCAAAAATCCCCCATGTGTGAGTTGGAGAACCTTTGGTACAGGGGCTCAGAGGTGATCAAGTTGTTGTAAATAGACCAGGGTTAGGAAAAACTGTGTTGGGTCAGGGGAAGATGGGATGGAGCATGATGCCCAGCAGCCTCCCACCCCTGCACCAGGGGCAGTGACCTGGGATAAATGAATCCCCCTCAGGTGATCCTGGTGAGCCCAGGACTTAAGAGATGGATTTCACTTGTTTTAATGTGACAGGTATTAGGAAACATGGGATTCCTAGAGAGCTGAAGATGAACAAAATTTCTAACAAAATAATTTGAACAATCTAGTCACAATCCACCCAGAGTGCTACGCCCTTGAAACCACCCTAGAAAAAAATTCAATGGGTTACTCAAGTCAGGAATAATTAGATTTTCCTCTTGGTTACCCAGGTAAAAGGAAGAGTGCCCTCATGTTAGAAGGTAAAAAGAGAGTCCTGAAATTTAACTCCTAAGTCATGAAAATGTTTACTGTGATTTGTTCTTGTGGAGTTGTTCAGGTTTGGTAAACATCACCTCCTGCTATGCTACCGCCTCCTAGCATGATCATGCAGAATAATGACCTCCCTTTCTAGACTTAACTGCACTGGCCAAACAAAGTCTGAGGCTTTTAGTTTTTTTTTTTAGTCTTCTCTTACATGAGCACCTCCTCTCCTCCTTGGTGTCCTCTAGTGATGGGGGCTGTGCTCCCCTGGTCTGGCTGCCTCCGCATCACCTCGCACAGGTGAGCTCCATTCAAAAGTATTTTCGATGAGGTCTTGCCAATGATGCAATGGTAGGCAGGCCTGTTTGTCTGTCCTTACTATATCTTGGCTAAGACACTTTGAGGTGTGCACCCCAGCATATGAAAATTTAGATATATTGCAGAAAAGAAATAACTAATACTGGAAAAATTATATTTCCTGAGAAAAATAACTATCTCTGACCATTTAATGGAGCCTAGCGCTTTTCAGAGTTTCCTGAAGAAGCTCAAAGCTGTGTGTGCGCTCTGTAAGCGAGCTGTGTGGATCAATGCTGCCTCCAAAGCTGTACCCAACATACAGGCAGTGCTCTGCAATGGCGCTGCGGTATTATATATGACTCCATAGGTGATCTCCCCTGGACTTATATAGCTATAATTTCCTGGCACCCACTATATGCTGTTAATGTATGATGGTCACACATTTGTAGCCATCATTCTTGTGTGATTTCCAAATCAGCCATGAAGTTATCCCCAGTGACAGACTGAAGCGGTGCAGAGGGCTCCTGCACCTCCCTGGTGGCACCACTCAGGTGTTCCCTGGGGAAACACAACCAAACCAAGTATCAGGCCTCCTTTTTCTTTAAGAGTTGTTGGATTTGGCATCAGGGATGATAGCCTCATTTTTCACTGCCTGGAGGCCAGACCAACCTCACCTCTAACCTTGACAAAAACAGCCTCACTCGACCGTCTGCAGGACAAATGGACGGACCTGGAGCCAGTCCGTATGCCGAGCTTTTGGACCCATCAAAGGCACTTGCAACCTTCAAGGCCTTCCTGACTGTAGTTATATTTTATTAAAGTAATATGGCTATAAACAATAATAATTAGAATGATAATATTAATGGCTATTATGTGCTACATACTATATCAATCCAAAGGATAACTTGGTAAAGCAAAATGCAGCTATATTAATCTCAGACTGGACTAAAAAGTTGTGATAGGTGGTTTTTCTTTGACGTATCAGACATGAATGCTGATTCATTTATATTCACAATGCTAATGCGTGTATTTTGACAATTCTTATACATGGTGAAAGTGGTACGTAAATGAAGGGGATGTAATGGTTCCCCTCAACTCCTTGGAGTTTTCTGTATTATATACAGGATACACAAAAGCTGTTTAATTTTCTAAAGGCCTGGCTCCGAGAACAGATGCTCCTGCTTTCGGCAGAAGTGCACCCCTATGAGCATGGGGGTGTCTCGCTTGCACCCACCCCGGGACCAGCTGCGATGTATCTGCCCTCCATGCTCACAAGGCAGGTGAGGAATCAAAGCCGGATGAGGAACAGCATCTCCACTACCACCTATAGCCAAAAGGAATAAATAGGGCAACCTTAACAAGGTGCTCTGTGATTTAAGTTAAAATCTAAAATGGTGGTGTTGCTTCTTACTGTTATCCAGGTTTCTCTTTTGGCTCAGCAAAACTACTTCTATATAAGAATAGGAGAAGGTAACGTGGAGGATGGGCTCTGCCATTGTCTGAGGAGACTTCTGATGAACAATGAAAAGCAGTCACTCCCAACAAAGTCATTTTTCTTACGTATTAATAACAAGAGAAGAGAATGTTTTAATTTGAGGCACCTGAAGTGAGATTAGGATTTGTTAAGGGCATTGAGAAATTAATATGCCATAAAAATATTATTTGGGATGAGATCACAGTCTTCCACAAACTTGAAGCGCTTCTCTGAACGTATTTTACCTCGGTGACTATCAGTATTTTGCACTATAATGTACCTTAATATACACATTTCCTTCTGTTGTGTCACAGGGCTAGTTGTGTTTATTTTAATATTCCTACATTTTAAATAAAGAAAACAGAGCCGAACTTCTAACAAATACGGATCACCACCGGCACTGACCACTTCTTTTGTTTCACAGAATTTCACAAGAAAATCAGATTATCCATTCACTATCATACTTACATCGTGACGAGGATTTCAGAAAATGCTAAAATCAAGAAGAATCCCCAAAATATTAATCCCCCATTTTATTCATATTTGAAATAAGGGATGGCAGTATAGGGTCTAGATATGCACATACATTTAAAACAACACGAGGGGTACAAGCCACCGAAACAGAAGAGCTTTCAGTCATAAAAGCAAGATCTCACTGCTTTTCTGCACCTTACTCTTTTTTTGACAGGAAAATTTGCAAAACCTTATGAAAACCCCTATGAAGTCTGTCTTCAGGTCTACTGAAAGACCTACATCTTTTTTCTGGGTCACTGCTGCCTAGTCCTACCACACATACAAGTGAACAGCATTTGTCTCTACGTAATTCATGCAGGACTCCTGAGTCACACAGGGGTGGGAGCAAACCAGGCTCTTCCAGAGATGTAAAAATAATTGTTAAATAAAGTTGTGAGTCAGTAGCCATCACAAGTCTCACAAGCCATGTAAAATCAAATTACATCTACCAGCTCGCGCTCCAGCTCACTCGGTCCTGAAGTATAACCCTCACTTGCAGAGGTGAGAAAAACCGGCAGCATCTTGTTTAACCTGATAATGCCGACACAGCAACGTTTCCTCACTCACACCAACAGCAACTTTGGGTCAGATCTTGCTCTCATAGAAATAAATGACAACTTTTTTCATGTAGAAGTTTGAAACTCTACACACTTTCTAAAACACATCTTATGTTATGTACTCTTCTTTGAATTATTCTGAGTTCATTTTTCCAAAGTATTAGAAAATACCCATTTCCTTGATTATAAAAAATATCCAGCACACATCTAAAGAAAAATTACCATTAGTTGAAGAAAATATCAACGTCACTCCTAGCAAATAGAAATCTATAAATCTAATGAGTAATAACTTAAAAATTAAGTCAACTGAGAAAATGATTATGATCACAGACAAGAGTGTGTCTTTCCTGCAGCACAAAGGAAGGGACATACTGATGTTCAGCGGAGCTGTGCTGATTTACTCTAGCCATGATATCCTACCTTCGTAGTCAGTGACTATTTTGCTCTCAATATGCTCAGAACTCCAATTGATATTAGTGGAATTTGCATACAAATCATGAGTGGTATGGACTCTCTCTGGTTTTCTATCTCTCAAGTAAAAACCATGAGACCTGCATTATTTTACCCAATTTTTCAAAAAGTTTAGAAACTTAAAGCCCCCTGAAAATTGGCTTAAAATATTTATTAATTAAAAAAGTTAAATATTTATTTATACAAATATGGTGAGAAAAATCTCATGCAGACTTTTCACATACAGTAACATAATTCAAATCATACTGTGATGGTTTTACAAAATAACTTCTTTTAGGAACTTTGACGAAGAAGTGTTGCTATCGCCTGTGTGCCTGAAAGCACCATTCACGGTAAGTAGAAAGCAATTTCTGAAACTTAGAGTTTTCCTATGGAACATATGCCAAGATTTTCACACTCTTCACTAAGGTTAACAATTAATACCTTATTACTACTACTCATAGAACTGGACAGAGACGTAAGAACACCAGGTAATGAATTCCTGCATACGACCGTACCTTTAAACACTTTATGTTAATGCATAAAGTTGCCAAAAGATTGCTTTAGATAATTCCCCTAAATGATGAAAATATCTTGAGATTGTTATGGATGGCATCTGCTTCTGCTTAATTACAAATCTGCATTGGATTCATAATTTGTGTATATTACAAGTAATTTGCATAATTAAAACAATTAAGGGATTGACAAATCATGGCAATTAGAAATACATCAAACTCTGGATGTTGTACAAAAGAGAGCTTCAATATGAAACATTAATTCTTTGAGAACAAAATATCCTTCAGATTCCTGCAGAACAGCCTTCACAAATTCAATATATGTTCAATAAACTCCGCTTAGAGAAAGTTTTTCTCAGGGACATCCGCTTCCTCATCAAGCTGTTGCAAGTTTAACCCCGAATGCTTTAGCCTTCATTTGAATTTCTTACTGCAGTCACAGCATGGACTTGTGTGTTTATTGCCAGTTTCAGGAGTTTTTATCTCATTTTACGTAGCCTTATCCTGTTTTCTTTGTCCCTCTTTTTAAGAATAAGCATGAACTGATTGAAAAAATGCTCTTGGTCCTTCTTCTTCTGAACAAGGCGAAAGCGCTGATCTCTTCCGTACTTTTCTGCAAATTCTTTGAACGTTGTTCTGCAGAAAAGAGAGACATTTTAAAGCTGTGACTTTGTCACTCCACACTCAGAGTCTTTGACCTGGATCTCACGTCACTTTTCACACAGACACTAAAAATGGGTGTTCTGGGAAATATTTGACAAGAACATGAAGGTAACCCCCTGGACAAGGGAGGCAAGACCATGCCAGAACTGTCCAGGCTTTGGACTCACAGATCAGCTCACAATTTTTAACTTCCATTTTTTGTTTTCGAAAAATCTGGGTGATAGCTGACAGGACAATTTTGAATCATTAACACAGTACTTGCTGCAGCACAGGCTACTGTGGCTTTAATCTATGCCTGCTGCTACTTATGGCTAGTATTTCAATAATTAGCCTATAATAGAGCAGAAGGCCACACCCACGTCTAATTGCAAACAAATGCACTTTGACTGTCAGTAGTACATGACACCTGATGAAATACCACGCTAGTTTGATCTTTTCTAAAAATAGCAAAAAAATTAATTGTAACTTTGAGTGATGGACACAATGCAATTGAAATCCACAGGCAGCTTTGCCTGAGCATTTCATTGTCAGGTCCAGCATTTTCCAATACAAACATGGCATTTGATTGCATATTAAAATCAAGCCAGAGACTACTGCAGGTAGACGAGTTTCTTTGATGCTGTGATCTCACAGTTAGCTCAACAAAAACATTAACCGGTAAAATGTTCTCTGTCCTGCAGGCCAGCACAATTTTGCCCTTGCAGACTGAAAACATGGAATGTTTTCATGAAAACACGAAAAAAACAAATGCCGGAACCGGCATTTAGCTGCTACGTTAGCCCAGAATATTCTCAGTTTTGTGGTAAAAGAACTTCTCATAATTATTACTTCCATAGAGCCTGATGTGTTGTTTGTATCTATGTGTCTAGGCAGGTAGTGCTGTACAATTACCTGCATATTTTAGTAGAGAAAACTGTAATTTCTTAGTTCCGACAATTTAACCAGACTTACAACATACAAACCTCTTTATTTTCATGTAACTTACAAATGAGCAAGTGCTATCCTAAAGCACTGCATTCGCTACTGTGCAGGTTTGGATCCATTACTTAAAAATCAAAATAAGTTATTGCATTGCATGCTTTATTTTAATTTAGTGATATGGCATTAATACTAACTTTGTTAAATCATGTTTCTCTTCCATCAAAAAACAAACCTAAATACGTTTTTTCACCAGTTACACCTGTATGCCTAATATAAATGAGATTTAACATTCAGGTACTAATTTTATATAGCTAATATGTATATGTGTGTTCTATAATTATACTATATATGCATATAAAATAAATGTGTTATGCGAAATATTACACATTCTGGATGAGAAAGGCAGAAAGGAAGAGAGAGAGAGAGACGGTACGTTCCCTCTCCCAGTAATATAACAAAATATCGTAAAATATTAGGGAAGAAATATCAACACAGCATTCTAACACTAGATGTACAAGCCTGCTATAAAGAGTATGTTCAGTGTTACAGCGTTCCGGGGCTGATAAGCACAGGCTAAACGAGAAAGCTTATCTTAAAAAATCTTCATAAGGCAATGCCATACCTTGGCGATAACTTGGATTCTTCAAGGAGCTTTTTAAATTCTTCTTTGGCTAACAATAATTTATTTTTCTTTTCTTTGTACTCTTCTCTGATCCTGGTCTTGACAAACTGTTCAAATATCTTTCCAAGAAAGGGAAACAAGATACAGTATTTATTAACAAAGCCTTTATGGTATTTATGCTTGACCAAAGGGCTGTCAATCTCACGACCTACAGTTCTTATCTGCCCTCAGTGTAGGCTGACTCGCATGCAGCTGAATCTGCTTCATGCGGCACTGATCATGTTCTCACAAAATAAGTAGCTGGAAAAAGGTATAATTTGGACAGATAACATCTTCATTCAAACATCAAGTGCAACATAAAGCAAAATTTCCTGACTTTAGTGTCTTGCTCACATTTTCATGCCTATAGCATTATTTTTGTGCATCTGTACAACAGATTGCAGTTATTTAGTTTGGATCTCGCACCTTTCCCAACTTGCTAGAATTCCTGAAAATGTCTGTAACGCTAAACATCAATATTCTGTAGGTTACCCCCAAAAAAGCCTGAAGACCTTTCAAATCAGTTGTCAAAAAACACAAGCTTACACATGATCCTCTGTACACATACACCCAAAAGCTTTAATGTGTTTGGAATGGTCGGCAACCTTCCTTTAACAGTATTTGGTAGCTAAATATGCAGCAGGGAGCTCAGCATCAGGATTTTTGGTGTCTTGAAAAGGAGTTAAGGAGTTCACTATGTCACAAAATTCTGCCAACTGCTTTAATCATATTTCTAACACCAAAAATCTGGCCCAGCTGGTTTCACACTCTAAAAAGCGTCGCACGCTAAGTTGTTGAATAAAAGGAGCTACTCCTCAAAATGCTATTAACTTTCCATACTCACCATCCTTTTCACCACAAATTACATACATTAAATATGATTAGCATGGTTACTTCCACAGTTGCTTCCTCATCAGCCATGAAGATGCACAGCTGCAAATCTACATTTTATGAAAGCTGAAGTAACCAAATTACAACTGGTATTTAGTACGGTATGTGGAAAAGGGAAGAAATAGCACTGGAAAAGTAAACAACAAAAAATGGCCATGAAAGAAGTACTACGAAAAACCTAGGAAATCTAAATATATTATACCGTATGCAATTGCATAAGTTGATTTGTAAGAGGAGATGGAAAAAATGGAACAAATAAAGTAGGTGACACTGTTATTACTTGCCTTTTTCGTATCAGTGAAGCTATTATGAAGGTAATAAATCAAAATTAACAGATAGCTCATTATTTTAATACAGTTGCTCCTTTACCCTTCACTGTTCCTTGCTTAAACATAGTAGCATCTTTCAGCTGTTAATAATCCCTTGGAAAATATCGGTAAGTAAGCGGAGCAAACCGCAGATGTTCAATACAGATCGTTATGTTCCTCGGGCTGTGTAAGGACACCCACCGACAGCAGAGCTTGCACTCCTGGAAGTCAAACCCACCTCAACACAAGTTCAAGTCAAGAGGAAGTTCCCTCAAACGCTTGCACATCACAGTCAAAACGCTCTCCTTGCCCTTTCCAACCTATCCGCCTGACCATGGAAAGAAGAAAACTGCAGTACAGCCAGCCATGCTCCAGCACTCATTCATTCATTCATTCCTTCATTCATTCTTCACTTTCATTGTGAGCCACTTTTCATCTCTAACCCCCTCCAATGTAAATTCATTTGCATCATTTAAAAAGTACTCAGACGCTCGCTATTCAGGCCACACAGCCAGCATCCGTGAAGGTAAATGTTTCCATAAACCTAAATAATGTCTTCTACTAATGAGTTGCACTTCAAGAAGTACTTTCATTAAATCAGGCATCTACTCTTGTCCGACTCTAACCTTCTTCTTGAACTACTTCTTGGAGGAAAATGGGGTCTAATTAAATGGCACTACTCATAATGAACATCTAGAAATCTTAACTTCAAGCTTAGTAGCTAAAATGTATTACAGACCTGGCACGTGCTCCCCAGCTTACTGTTTTTTTAACCCTGTTTTGCAGAAGAGCAACTGACGATCACCCTCTTCCACCTTAGCTCTGAGCCCAAATTACTGTCACTCTCAGAGCCAACCTCTACCTGACTACAGGTTTCTACCTACAGGACTGCCAGCTACTCGCTTTTCATAACCCTTTCCTTAAATATACCCCACAAACAAGGTCCCCCTCAGCAGTGCTTCAAGCACATTATATTTTGTGTATTCGTGATGTATTTTTATTATATCATCTCCAAGGCTGATAAAATGAAAAAAGTAATATATCTTGATTGACTCATCAAGGTCTAGGTTTTGCCCTTGCTGATTCCCTGAAATAAACACAAAATTCCCCGCTTAGTCTCTTGTCTAGCACTTTCTTTTACATTTTTATTCCCATATTTCCTTATTATTTTATTTCACTTTTTTTCTTAGGAAAGAAAATATTGGAAAGAGAGTAAATGAAGATGTATGTGCCCAGTCCCTCAGTAAATACCTACAGGAAGCTCTCTGGCGAATCACAAGACAATATGGGCCCCACTGCAATGGAACAGGAGTAAGTACATTTTTCATTGTGTTTATTTAAAAAATGGACAATTCCATATTCAAAATTCTTCCTTCTCCAGGATGACAAAAGACTGGTAAGGAAGAGAAATAACTACAGAATGGAAGCATTCACCTTCTCTGCAACATCCTTGCATCTCTCCTAAATTTTTTAGACTAATCTGCAGCCCTCAAGTCCTTTTAGGTCCCTAGTGATAATTAATGCCCAAATAAACAAGGCAGCAAAAAGTCCACTTCCCTTTGCAGCTTGCCAGAAAAACTAAACCCATTCAAACAGATACCAGCATAGCCACAGTGCTCTATCCATTTATATCTAGCAAGTTTAGTTATTGCAAAATATAGCAGTAAATACTGCCAGACTCCTAGAAAATATTCTAAGTAATAAAAATGAAGTCGTCTCTCTACAGTATCTAAACAGTTCAGAGTGGAAACATTACCTTATGGCCATTTCCCTTCCTACAGCCCAGTTTCCCAGACTCAGTAGGAGTTGTTCTACAACCCTAGAGACCGTAGCTTGTGTCTATGGGCAAACTCACTTGTTACCACTTGCTTTTCAAAGGAGACAGCACTTTCTTATGAGCAGAGCCTAAATTATGAGTCTCACTGAAAAACTCAAAAAAGAAATTTTAATTTTATGTAATTCGTTTTATCCTACCGAGATAATTACTCTGTTATTATGGTTAATTTGGGAGATGTTTGCTGCCAATCAGAAGCTACGCTGGAGGTAATGCTCACCTGTTTACGTTCTTCTGAATTTAGTAGAAGGTAGCGTGGATCAAATACTATTTTGTGTAACTCTTTCTCCCATGTAGAAAATGCTGAAACCTGTGAAGTACACAAACACAGTTGCATTAAGGAATTTTAATAAGGATGTGAAAGAAGAAAATGTTCCAAGGTGAAGCAAAAGAGTAGTTCAGAAAGCTAATGAACCCTCTAAAGGATGCCTCAGAGTGGTTGGAAGTTGAATATTAATCTGTTTCTGGCAAGGCCCTGGTCGCCCCCACACCATTAGTATTGATTTCCTCTAGGACATCTCAGTGAGTATCTGGGAGACGCTTATTCCACATTTTTGATGGAAAGAATCTGTAGCAGAAAGGAAAATGCCATTTTATTATCCCCTTTGTACAACAGAAGTATCAATTTCCATTTAAGTAATTATCTCAGCTTTAACTCCCCTCCTCTCCAAAACTTAAATTATAACCCAAACGAGGCTGTCAATGCATGCACACACTGAAGAACTAATAACGAACATCTTCAAAGCACCATGTTTTTGTAGCAAATGTGCCGCTTCCCTCCAACAGCATGGCTGTCACATCTCCTCCATTTCGAGGCTTCTCCCCTTTTCTGCTGAATCCAGCTCTCCGGAGTGGGACCCTGGGTGTCCACCCAAGCCTCGTGCATCGCACACATTCCTGCAGCCACATGAAATGAGAATATCACGCTCCTACAGAGGTTCTTCCATCTTCACCAAAACCTCTTTACGGTGAGTGGGCTGTAAGGACCACCACGAATCTGAGCAGGTCCCTCACTTGCCCAGTCCCCTTTGCCCGGGGCTTTTACAAAATGACAGTCTGGGAGCATAGCACGGAAATCCCCAGCCTGATTTCGGTACCTTATACAACATCACTGTTAATTAGTTTGTTACAGAAAACTCTGGAGTAACATAAAATATTCTAATCACTCCATCTCATTACAAAGAAGAGTAAATTCACTAAAAAAATTAAGTATGTGAAGTATAATTAAAGTAATTAACAGTCAAACAGGAAAGCGCTGATGAAGCAAAGTGGGTTTAAATGGACTGGGTTTCCTTTTAGAGTGGTTAGCACTGGAAGCTCAGAAATGTCGAGGTTCAGGGTAACTTTCCAGATGCGCAGTGGTTCAGGGCTGCCTCCTCCAAACGTTGTCTTCTCGCAGCTTGGGGTTCACCCTCCGTGCCCACGCAGGTGGTGAAGTCCTGAGGTTTGGGGTTTTCCCCCCTTCAGAAGGACCAGCAGCAG